TTGTTGTAGCCATTTCTTTTGACCATCCCCTTGGCAGTCTCATTGTTGACACTTTCACTTCACTTCCTCTGCATTTGAAGTCATAATGGCTGGAAATATTTTTGAAAGAAAGTGTGTAGGCTACAACTAGATACCGTGTCACTCTAATTCAAAGTGTTAATACTTTCATGGTTAAAGCAAGCATTGTGTAGTGTAAGGTATATTTCCTCATAGGAAAGTTCTGACTAAATATTTAAATTGTAATTGTGACACTATGTTAGCTATCATATGCAAACTTAATGTTTTAAAGATGTAATTAAGGGTGTTAAGAGAGACAAGTTGATTTTAAGGTGGCCGAAAGATAAATTAAAGGAATCCAATTGCCTTTTATTGAATGGGAGAGGGATTAATGTTCAGCAAAAGAATTTTGAAAATGAACAGGACAAGCTATCATTCCCCCAGAGATCTTGTTATTTAATACATATGCTTTGTTTTTCAGACATTTCCTTTTAAAGTGTTTTAGAATCGATAAGAATCCCATTGTGTTTGAATACAAGGCAAAATTACAGTGCCAGCAGAGGTCGTTTACTGATGCAGAGGTCCAGTAACTTACTGTAGGAAGAAGCATGTGTTTCCTAGCAGTGTCAAGATGGCTGTAAAATACCCTGTCCTTCCAGTGTCTCTCTAATCAGAAATACTTTTTTGCTTGTAGTAATGATAAGCTGTGGTCATTGAGAACTGTAGGTCTTTTCCTTCTGAGTAACGTTTCAGGATTAGTCCCTAAATCACATCCCCTTAATGAAATGAGAAGCAAGGCAATTAGAGGTTAGATGCTTGAGAGTTAAATGTTTTAATCCCTAACATCCAGGTGGTTTCCCTTCAGCGTGGAAGCTCAGTTTAGCTCTTTGCTATCAAGGCTCCCTATGCTCGTCACAGTCCAGTGATCGGTCCTGAAGGCAGGTGCATAAACCTTCCCTTTCAAGAACAGATCTTAGGTCACTTCTTAAAACATCTTTCTTGTAAAGATCTGCTCAATGGGTTTCCTGTAATTTACACAGTAGTTTAATAGGTAAGGAACTCACCAGCATGCTAGAGACCTGAATCTGTTGTTCAGTAATTGGTGTCTCTTAGCTATAGCTTAGCAGAGGCACCCTAGGCCTTCACTTAGGTGGAGACCATTTCTCTGTATAGAAATTAAAGCCAAGATTCGTAGGCCAAAGAGAGTGCGCACAGGTAGCATGACAAGTGCTGTACTGTATTTACCAGCCTTTGAGTACATAACAGTCACTCCTGGGTTTGGGCCTGGCCCTGCCTTTCTGTCCCTCTTCCTTCTCAGCATGCTCTGCATTCATATTCTGTTTGCCTTTTGTTCTTAGGCACCTTGCTTGGAAGAACACAAAGTTCAGGCTCCCAGGGAGACCTGGACATGAAGTTATTCAGGCATCTCAAATCTCTTAACTTCTGGGTATATGCAGAAGCAGCCTTTATGCTAGGAGAACTTCAAAGTGAGACCCTAAAAAAGCTCACTTCCCTTTGAAGAAGACAGTTTGGTGACAGATGGTCAGAGCCTTCTAGGAAAGGGGTTTTGATCTGAGGACTGGTCAAAGACAAGGTCATTGGAGTCATTTAAAAGTTGCTGGTTTCTCAATTGAAAGCAGCTGTTTCTCAGTCAACAGGCAGTAATCAAGCATGTGTTTGCCCCTGTGCCCTTGCAGGGGGTAGATGGAGCAGGTGTAACTGGGATGTGGCAATGTGTACCTGTCAAGATTGTACATGGCTCCCCCTGCTTTTGTTTTCTGCCCCTAGGGAATCTGGCACCAGTTCCCAGAGCAGGTTCAAGACGGCTGTATCAGGGATCACTGCTCCGTGTATGTTGCTCTCAAGAGCTGGATACCTTCTGATAGGAATTCATGCCTTGTTTTGGGAATCATTAACTCAGAATTGGGAAGAATCTGTTCAAATAGTAACTGAATGCACAAGTGTTCTCAGACCTGCCCACTTTTTTGCTCACTTTCTTATCCTGTTCTGGCCAATGAACACTTTAGTTACCACATTAAAAGTGGAATAGTGTCAGCAAGGGGCTATACTGTTTTGGGGAGTTCCCCAGTGGCAGGCAGGCTGTTGCAGGTTGCCCAGCTCAGATTGAGAGCACAGGCAGTAACATGCCAGGTGTGTTCCAGCAGCAGTCGGACAGACTCCTCAGCTTTGGGGTGAGTAACTCGGTGCTGCTGTTACATTTGTGTCTCCATCGCCATTCCCCCTTGGCACTCGCCCCCAAATATAAAGGCATTTCCTAATTCTGTACAGGATCAGCATATGCACTGCAACTCCCTTGTAATATAATAGCTATTGGTGATTGAAATGGAAATACCATCATAAAACAGCAAGAAGACCTCAGTGACTTCTCTTCAGCTATTTCTTCTTTGTGGGGAGCACCTGTACATGTGGAGTTCTATCTAGTACAGCATGCTACTAGACGCTGATACATTTCTGCTGCTCTTTACTGTCCAAAATACTGTAAAGATTGAAACTGCTGTGATTTTGAAGGGTCTGTGGCTATAGTTTTGGGAGATGTGTTTTGTTGGGTTTCTTTCCCCCCAGTAAACTAATACGAAACTTGTTGCCTCAGGAGAGCAAGTCAAATGAATTTATAAGAGGCTGTGCACTGTCATATAGCAACATTTCAGCCTTATGCTTAGGGGAAATTGACTGCAAGGATGAGGAAGCAGAGTCATGTATCTGCAGTGGTTGTGGCTGGATTTCTCATCCCATTGCTTTCCGCTGAAGCGTTAAATACTGACTACTGCTGGAGACAGGATATTAAACTCGGTGCAATCATGTATGTGCTTCTCAGAGCTTTTGCTTCCGAGAGGTGAATGAACTCCTTTATTATAAAATTTCTGTTCTTGTAATTAAATAATACCATTAAAATGTTATATAATGTATCCGTAATTTCTAGTTTTGACTTACAGTGGCAAGTATAAACCTGCCCATAACTCCCTCCTGCAGTGCTTAGGACTGGCAGACAATATAAAATGCTGTGTCAGCAAAGCAAAACAAGTAATTAGAACTAACTTTCTGCTGCACTGGAATGGAACCATGATATTCTTGCCAACTCAGACCCAGATTTTCCTATAGACAGACTTCAGTGTTTCCTGAATTACGATTTGAATTAGTCCTACAGACTGTAATTTGGTAAACCTATTGATTTTTAACTTTTTTTTTTCTGTAGCTCTCAGCTTCATATACCCACCATTGTCCTGTTCTAGCTTCATATCAGGCCAGAAGTGGGTTGCAAACCTCTTCACACTGTCACTTTGTTTTTTTCAGGAACGAAACTGGTGTTGGGGCTTGAAGGGAGCTATAGGATGCATAGGAGACATTGAAACTACTTGGTACTAGACTAAGTGTAAGCAAAAATACCAGAGGATCTACTGAAGTGCAGTGCTTACAGGGTCAGAACATAGATACATCACTGAGACTGCCTCTGTGTTAATTAAAAAGATAAAAATGATGCAGTCTAAGGACAGCAATCTGGCTGCTGCTGCCAAGTGGCAGGGTATGATTCTTGTCCACAGTGGCTAAGCTGTCAGCCCTCTGCCAAAACCTGGGTGCTCTCATCCAGCCTGCCTGCTGGGAATGGTTCTGGCACTGGCTTCATCCTGCATTACCCAGAAGTGTGCAAGGTGACCTGGGCCAAAACTCTGAAATGTGCTAATTGTTAAACAGTATGGCCAGTACTGGAGTCTGTGCCTTAATCTTGTCGTCTTTACTAGTAGTAGTACATTTAGCCCAGCATATGTTAGCTTTCTGACAGATTTGTTGTTTTTTTAAACATATAACCATAGAAACGTTGTTTGAAAGGGGGTTTTGAAGGTTATCTAGTCCAGCTTCCTGGATGGAGCAGAATGCAGCTGGCTTGGAATTAATGAGTCCTAAAGGTAGCAACGGAGATTAACAAGGTTCTGTTTCAGTGAGGAATGTAATTTTTTTTTTTTTTTTTTTTTTTTGGGATTTAGCAGAACCCTGCGGTAAGTCCATAGTGCTAGGTTGTGTGTCCTTAGCAAGTCTAGCATGTCATCAAGCCTAGACAAACTCATCAAGCCTAGACAAACTTTGCCTGGATAAGCATCAGCACTGCTTGCCTCTGCAGTGCTGAAGGCAGCCTGGTGGTAGCTGCATGTCCTCTGAGCAAGTTCCAGCTGTTCTTGATCTCTCCTCGGTTAAGGGTACACTTTCTCCTTAATTATGTGCAATTCATGTTACATTTCTACCTCTGCTGCTAAATTTCTGCTTGAATGCTTTGCTTTATAGTCTTCTACTCAACCTCAGGAATATATTTGGCATCTTATTTCTTAATGTGTGAAGGAGAAAGCTTGGGAGGCAATTGATGTTTCAGACTGGAGTGGGGAATTTCTGATTTCCAGGCATTTATTGAGCACTAAATTGGTACATGGTCTTTGTGACTTCATTGTCTTTTGTCTGTCCATAATACTAGAATTATCAGATGGATTTCTTATATGTGTGGTGTGACCACTGATTAGATCACATTGAACACAGGGAACTGTGGTGTTCAGGATGATTTCTTCTTATTTAATTTCATCTATGATTGTGAACATTCCTTCTTCCTGTGACAGCCAAGGGACGGACTGAGTGAGTGCATTTGAAGAGAAACTCCCATTTTTTCCTTGTTTGAAATTTCACAACATAATCTAAAAATTTAGGATGCTGTTGACATCGAAATGGGAAAAAATATTCCCAGAAAGCAATCTGTTACACATTATTGTAGTGAAATAACCATCTTCATACATGTCAAGTTAGGGTATGACTTATGATGGCTTTTTCTTTCCTATGGCTTCACTGTCTCCTAATTAATTATATCTAATTTTATACTAAATGGTTATTCAAGACTAGAAGTGGCAACTTACTGATACGTCTAAGTAAAAATTACTTTGGAGGTTATGACTGCATATTCTGCCGATGGATGTTTCAGTGCCTCATTGCCTCTGTTCCTGTTACAGGTGCATGTGACAGCATTGCAGCAATGAGTGGAATTTTAAAGAGGAAGTTTGAAGAAGTTGATGGCTCCTCACCTTGTTCCTCTGTGCGGGAATCAGATGATGACATTTCTAGCAGTGAAAGTGCTGACAGTGGTGATAGTGTCAATCCATCCACTTCTAATCACTTTACCCGTAAGTACTAAAGTTGGTGTGTCTAAAGAATTCTTCTTGTTTCTCAGAATAAAATAAATATTATGGTTAGATAAACATGGTGGTTTTAAATTGAACAGATGATAAAATGGAGTGAGTCTCTGTGGTATTCAGTTTGTGGCTTGTTCAAAATGACTTGGCAAACTTGTGCCTTTTTGCCTTCTTTTTAACTGTATAAAACTATTTGTCATTGTAAAAATGTGAAGTCACTTGGAAGCCCCCGTCTGTTTGCTTTTTGAATTGTGTAGATGTTTGTAGTTACATTGGGAGTTGTGCTTAAGGTATTTCAAAAAGGCACTGTAGGGAAGATACTTTAGGTAAATTTGTTTATTTTTCTTAGATAAGTGTAGTGTAGCTGTCAGCTATCTCCAGTATTGTATTGGTCAGAGTTCTCCAAAGAAAATAATAAGCTTTCTTTATTTAGAATCGAGGAACATTGTGTACGGGACACATTACGGCAATTGTTCATATTCTTCACATAGGGGAAGGTATCTCTGTACTGGGCAATGGTTTTGCATGTAGGTAAGAATTTGGTTTTAAGATAGCAAAGTGCTACATGTGCAGCATATATATATAGGAAGGATGAATTTACAGTTTTTATTTGTAGTTTATGGTATTTGTCTTAGGTGGTTATACTGTTTTAAATGTGAATTGCATGTTTTAAAAAGCAGGGGTTTGCCTCCTTCAACTCTGTTGCATGTAGATCTCTCCACTGGAGTTAGTGGCTCTAAAGCTGTTAAAATTGTGGGCCAGGAGGTAGGTGAGGCTCCTCATTGCCACCCACATACAATGTCATCCTTACAACTGTGTGGTTTAGGTTGTGCCTGGAAATCATGTCTGTAGCATGTGATGTGGATGTTCTTTGATTCGTCTATCTGAGGGTCCGAATCTTCTCCGCTGCAGTATGGAACACTCCTGTGCAAAGGGTACACAGGCACAACTTTTCAAATGCATTTACATGTAACAGTCTTGATGTGGTATATTATAATTTAGTTGCAGTACTAGTAGGGGACCTATTTTATTGAAATGCCACAAAGGAGTAAGTGACCCAGTAAATCTCTTTGCTAGTATTAAGAAATGACAGTATTGTCTGCATGATGATCTTCTAATTTTCGCATCTGTTTAAGGACTTAGGTGATTATTCATCACAGACCTGAATTGGTCATTTTATGTCAGTCATTGCCACCTACATAGATGACAGCAATACACAGATAATAGAAAGAAGCCTTGTATCACAGGAGAAACTTGGAAGTTGTAATACATGCATGTAACAGTAAGCTTTCATTGTAGTTGACACAATAAATAATTTAGTTTTTTAATAAAGTCTGTGAGAGAAACTATAGCATTTCAGTGTTATGATTAATGATCCATATAACTGAGATATCTGTGGCCAGAGTAATAAATGTTTATCTGTGCGTGCACTCACACATAGAAGTTGTACATGCTATATATTTTTAAATACACATACACACATATATATCAGTTGACAATACGGAAATAGAAAAAGCAATTTGTTTACATGTGCATTGATACTATTTAGAAAGTATTGTCTTTAATATAGATGTAGCTGCCTAAATTCCAAGAAATCAATACACAGTAATCCCAGTATTATATAAGGCTGGTTTGGGAAGAGAATTTAAGAAGTGGCCTTGGTGCTACATTTGAACAGGCAAATCACAAGGTCCTCAAGGAAAAGACTTTTGGAGACTAGTTTCTATGCTACTGGAACATGGCATCTTTCAGTGTCTTAACATTCTGCTTTGCTCTTACTGTAATGCAGCGTACTTTCAGGAGCTATAAAGGTGATAATTTTTTATTGGTAAGAAAATAGAGGATGTTGATGCTCAGATATACAGAACCGAAAGGTAGTTTTATCCCTACCTAATTACTTGCATCTTGCATCCCACCTCTCTTCTGGTGCACATTGTTATTTTTTAGATTTACCAAGGACACTCCATGTTGCACCTGATGGGGAAGTCAGATTTTGTTAATTTATTGTTAAAGTGCTGCAAGTGAGATTTTTGTACCTTCTTTCTTATTATTAAAGCATATCAGTTACTTATGTTTACACAATCAACAGCTACCAGTTGAACAGTGTTAGAAAAACCACTTAGCTAGCCTCAGGCACATCTGCTATATATAAGAGCAAATCTGCACTGCAAAGCTGGGTCTTAGTGATAGTGTACGATAGTATATATGTTAATATGTGTTTGCAATAAAAATTAATCATTTTATATTTAAATCAGTTTATATTTAAAATGAGTAAAGATACTTGACAAATGGTGCAAGATGTTTTTAACTTGATAACTGTCTGCCTCTAGAAAAAACAGGTTTTTGTTGAGATTAAATTCTTATTTTGTTTATTCTTCATCTTCTTGAGTCTTTGTGTGCTTTGATTCTGAAGATAATGTTTTAATTGGACAATCAGTGAAATTTTTATATGCACAGGATCCATTTTCATTTTGGTTTGTATCAGTAGGTTGACATTAGTTGTGTATGTGATGTTGGATGCCCTTCAGGGCAGGAGCACTTTTCTTTGTATGTAGATTTATTTTTTTTTTAACTTCTAGATTTTTTTTTAAACAGTGTTATTTGAAATATTATATTTTGAGTTCTAGGAAGTGATAAAAAACTAACTCATCCTACTGAAGTATTTGGCCCTGTCTTGTCAAGGCAGAATTTGTGGAAATTGTCAATGTTCGTATCTCATGAACATGGATGACTTACAGAGCCACTAGTGATGCTCCCTTCAAAACTACATGAAGATGTGTTGTACAATAACAAAACTGTTAGCAGTGTACACTAAAAGGTGTTTTGTTCATTCTTAAAACACATAAATCTCCCAGAATAAAAGATAGGGGATTTCCTATGTTGAATATTTGAGTCTGTACTTTTAAGGGCATATGGAAATTTCTGCGAGACAAGTAAGCAGACTGGTAAGAGCCACATTGCTTGCCTCTGTTAACATGCCTGAATACCTCCTTGATGGGGGTTATCTTTCTAAGCTGTATCCTGACAGTTTGTACCATTTTGTTTTCTATTTTGTGTATCCTGTGTACCATCTTCCTTCCAGTTTGTTTTCATATAAGTAAATCTGAAGTTCAGTGTAAACGCTTGTTTACTGACTGGAAATGTGGGTGTTGTGGGTGACCTGTAGTTAGTTCTTTAACTGAACTTTTAAAAAATGCCTGATGTGGCTCTCTGAGTCTTATTTTTTCTTTCTAATTGACCTGACAAAGAGAATTTTTTAATCACTTGTAGCTACAACTCTTTCCGTGCTTCAGCAAGCAGGCAGTTTGTATATAAATCTATCTAGAATAGCTGATGCATCTCAGTATTTACACAGCCCTTGAAACAATATGTATTGGGTCAGACAAACAAGACTATCCTGCTCCATTACTCTTGAGGTCAGTTTAATATGCCAGCTAAATGAGGCATGCGGCTGCTGTGGATCTTTCAGGTGGGGCAGAGCCAGGGGGAGATGACTTTGATCTCAGTAATTAACCCTGTAGGGTGATGGCAGAAAATACACGACAGAGATATCCCTCAGTGCTATGCGTTGTGACTACTACACAGGGATAAGTACAGAGTTTCTTTAACAGTTTATCCATTTAAACAAATCAAGACAGCAACTACAAAAAATCCCTATCCTAAGATACAGACATCTTTTCTGAGTCAGGAAATTAAATTACAGTCATAAAGCATAGACAACTGTTACCAAGTTCATACACCACCCCCCTACCTCACCCAAAAAAAGTCGTATTTTCTTGGTCAAATATGTGTATATATACCTCTGCACATTTTAAAATCTCTTACCAAATGTTGACAGAGTGCCTTCATTACCATTGGCAGATAAAATCCCTACTATATTTTTTACTTACTTTTCTCAGTCTATTGAGGTCATTTCAGTTTGATTCAGCAGACCATTAGTCACACCACAGAATTACCTTAATGGATGCCAAAGCATGTTACTAACCAGTCCATGTACTTGTCCCATTTCACTGCCCTTCCTCCATATCAGAAAGAGGGATGTTCATCTTCAAGCAGCAGTCCAAGCATGCATATAGAGTATTAATCGGGACTGAGAGTATTTGTTGCCTTTTCCCTTAGAGGTACATGGAATACAGGGTGGGAGCACACTCAATGCCATTTCAGCTCCTTTAAATTTCCCTGTTGAGCTAGGGCACCTCGCTGCTGTGTTTCATCAGCCCCACAGCAAGTTGTCTCTGGAACTGCCGTTCAGGATGTCAGTACAACGCCCAGACAGCTGCAGCAATTGTGTGTGCTGAGGGATGCTGGGTTCCATGCTCTAGCTCAGGAGTGGGGGATTCTTCCTGCTTTGTGGAGGTACCTGCCCCTAAAGCCTTGATCTATTTTTCTGGTAAAGAAATATATCTGGGTTTAAGTTGCAGAATTGCATGCAACTGAAAGACCTGAGAAGACCTCAAGTCCTGTCTTTGAAATTTGGTGCTGGTAAAAACTCCCCATACCATATTAATCACAGATTAATCTCTTAAGAAACATACTTTGAGGAGCTGCTGCTTTTCTCTGCCATTTCAACTTAAGTGTAGTGTAGCTGGAACTTTCAGTATAATGCCTTTATTGCAGAGGCTTCTCTTCTTCACCTGCAGAGGCGGGTGAAATCTCCAACACCAGCTCATCTGGTAAGGTGATCTTTACCAACAGGAGGTAGAACCATCGCACAGTCTAGTTGATATCCTCCATCAGTTATCTGTATCTTGCCATTACCATTATCACTGTCATTAGCAAGGTTATCCTGCAGCCAGGTGTAATCATAGCTCCTGTCATTCTGCTAATTTGGGTACTGTCTTTAAGAGTATTGGATGCCTTAGGTTCATTATGAATGAAGCTGGTCAGTAATGGTTCTGAGAAAACCCTTCAGTCTCTAAAATGCTCTCACCATCTTTTGATTTTACCATTAAAGAGGAATTTGAAAATACAAATAAATCCCCATTGCACTT